TCGACGTCATAAACACGAACAACTTTGGTGTTTATGACGTCGATATTCGACGTCAAAAACACGAACAACTTTGGTGTTTATGTATTCGACGTCATAAACACGATCAACTTTGGTGTTTATGACTTCGATATTCGACGTCATAAACACGAACAACTTTGGTGTTTATGACGTCGATATTCGACGTCATAAACACGATCAACTTTGGTGTTTATGACGTCGATATTCGACGTCATAAACACGATCAACTTTGGTGTTTATGACGTGGATATTCGACGTCATAAACACGATCAACTTTGGTGTTTATGACGTCGATATTCGACGTCATAAACACGAACAACTTTGGTGTTTATGACGTCGATATGCGACGTCATAAACACGATCAACTTTGGTGTTTATGACGTCGATATTCGACGTCATAAACACGATCAACTTTGGTGTTTATGACGTCGATATTCGAGGTCATAAACACGATCAACTTTGGTGTTTATGACGTCGATATTCGACGTCATAAACACGATCAACTTTGGTATTTATGACGTCGATATTCGACGTCATAAACACGATCAACTTTGGTGTTTATGACGTCGATATTCGACGTCATAAACACGATCAACTTTGGTGTTTATGACGTCGATATTCGACGTCATAAACACGATCAACTTTGGTGTTTATGACGTCGATATTCGACGTCATAAACACGATCAACTTAGGTGTTTATGACGGCGATATACGACGTCATAAACGCGATCAACTTTGGTGTTTATAACGTCGATATTCGACTTAATAAACGCGATCAACTTTGGTGTTGATGAAGTCGATATTCGACGTCATAAACACGATCAACTTTGGTGTTTATGACGTCGATATTCGACGTCATAAACACCATCAACTTTGGTGTTTATGACGTCGATATTCGACGTCATAAACACCATCAACTTTGGTGTTTATGACGTCGATATTCGACGTCATAAATACGATCAACTTTGGTGTTTATGACGTCGATATTCGACGTCATAAACACGATCAACTTTGGTGTTTATGACGTCGATATTCGACGTCATAAACACGATCAACTTTGGTGTTGATGACGTCGATATTCGACGTCATAAACACGATCAACTTTGGTGTTTATGACGTCGATATTCGACGTCATAAACACGATCAACTTTGGTGTTTATGACGTCGATATTCGACGTCATAAACACGATCAACTTTGCTGTTTATGACGTCGATATTCGACGTCATAAACACGATCAACTTTGGTGTTTATGACGTCGATATTCGACGTCATAAACACGATCAACTTTGCTGTTTATGACGTCGATATTCGACGTCATAAACACGATCAACTTTGGTGTTGATGACGTCGATATTCGACGTCATAAACACGATCAACTTTGGTGTTGAGGACGTCGATATTCGACGTCATAAACACGATCAACTTTGGTGTTGATGACGTCGATATTCGACGTCATAAACATCTAAGTTGAATGTTTATGACGTTGATATTCGACGTCATAAACATCTAAGTTGAATGTTTATGACGTTGATATTCGACGTCATAAACATCTAAGTTGAATGTTTATGACGTTGATATTCAACGTCATAAACATCTAAGTTGAATGTTTATGACGTTGAATATCACATCTAAGTTGAATGTTTATGCCGAAAATATTGAATATCAACGTCATAAACATCTAAGTTGAATGTTTATGACGTTGAATATCAACGTCACAAACATCTAAGTTGAATGTTTATGACGTTGAATATCAACGTCATAAACATCCTAAGTTGAATGTTTACAATAAGCGCAGAAGCCCTGGGTACGAGGTTGAGTACAAGGTCATCTCTTAGTCGAACGTTATTACTACAGGAGGAACCTAAACTAAATCGATAACTGCATCAGTGTGACCAGATCTTATTACTAAACTTATTATATAAACCTATTACTTTGTGGTCTAAAATTTACTAATCGAGAAAAAATTTACCAAATTAATTTCTTCCTCGCCCCAGTTTGATAAAAGTGTAGAGCGTTGCGCCAAAATCGCAGGGTCGCATGTTAGTTCGATTCTTGTCAGAGGGCCTAGATCCTTGCATTTCCGCTCGCAATGGGCTGATTCCCCAATTAACCAAAGT